CACTTCAAGCCGCTTACGTGGACCAAGCTATGGACTATGCTCAAGAAGTTGGGATGCACCCTAAACGTCTCTATAATGATAATCGATACGTCATACCTGACGGCTGGGTAAAACGACCAAACGTAACGCAACTCGTTGATTATTTTGATGGATCTGAGGAGGTGTGGAAGCACTTACCGGTAGAAGGTATGTATATGTATATCCCTTACCAAGTGTATACTAGCTAACAAGACTTTTAGTGTTGTACGACGAGGCACCCCCTCCCGTGCCAAGCGATCCACCTCAGTATCTATTACCACCACCGAACGACCAGACAAGCCGTCCAACGCAGCACCTGCCGCTACTCTCCCCATTCTGTTGACAATTCTACAACGAAGGCTTCTGCCAAGCCGCTGGTCAATTCCCCGGCACAATCACCCGCCAAGCCGCCGGGAAAGACTCCGGCCAAGTCGCCGGCGAAGTCACCAGCCAAAGCACGTGGTAGACCGCCAGGCAAGCCCCCTACACCTAAGAAGAAACGAGTAGGTAAACATACAACTGCAACAACGGTTGCGCATGTGGATAGACGCGTACTTCTGCCTCGGAGTGCCCGCTTGGCAGCTGAAGCGGTTGATATCTCGGCTGGTAACGATCGGATGAGCTCCGGGGATGAAGATGACTACGGACTTGACAATGATGATGAGTCTGTCGCCGATAACATCATCGACGACGCCAAGATCAAGACAATGAAGCCACCAGTCATGAGGAGAATCCTGTTGATCTCTCCGTAAGTACACCATTCGACAAGATGAGCAAAGAGCAATTGCGTGATCATGCGAAGCGTAGCTGGACAACCTACTTTGAAGAAGATTGTAAGTCTTGTGTTGTATGATACAGGTTACTGTTTCACTTGATTCATCACTTATTCTGTATTAGACACTAAGTAAACTTGATGCGCTGTAGGTACTTCGCTACAAATGCCTGCTGCCGAGCTTACGCAATGCACTGCGGCTCCTACCCAGATACTGCAAGCGCTGGGTAACGATTTAGAGGGATTTTTCTTTCTCTTTCTTTCTAAGAAGATGTGGGTATCTATTGCCTCAGAGTGCAATCGGTATCAACTCCAGTATCGCACGCAGGCGGCGGATGTCATTATGACTCGACAGAAACGCATCAACCAAAGGCGACCGGTGTACAAGATTAAGAGTTTGCAGCAAATTCAGAAGGAGCAGAGAGCGTTCAAGCCCACTCAGCCCCACGAATTGGTCAGCTTTATTGGTTTGCTATGCGCGCGTGCGCCGTGCCCGCATCGAGAAAAGCTAGCGAAACACTGGGCGGTAGATACCCAAGGTGCGGTTCTGAAAGGAACATTCGGACATTATAGGTCAAGAAAGCGTTTTGAGGAAGTTGTTCGCTTTCTTCATTTTAGCCACAACGAATCACCGGATGCGCTCCGGTACAAGACGTGGAAGGTCAAACCA